TTTATTAGATTTTCTATTTGAAAAATTACTTAAACAAGTAGAAAATTAAGTCCTGCGGACGCCCTTTCAGATCCTTATAAAATTCATTGAATAAAGAAGGCAAGCGGAGGAGTCAGGAAGGATTTTACTGGGTAAACATCTTCGCTGGAATCTCACAAAACCCAGAACACCAGCTCTATCGCGGAGTTCACCCCATGTACAATTGGATGTGATGTAGTTGTGCTGAAACCCTTAAAATCTCTAGCAGAAATTTGCATGCATTCTGTGACAAAACCGCAAAGCACCGAGAAGTTGGCTTATCGGCGACACAATTACAGACAGGACAGACAAAGTACATAAGTAACATTAAAATTTTCGTAGACTTCTTCGAAAATTAAGTTATAAACTGGCCTACGTGCCATTTCTATTTTATTATTTTTCGGTCGACCGACAACAACAATTCTTAACACAGTGAGGTTAGATCAAGTCTTTAAACGGCGTTTAAAGCTATTAACGCCCAAAATCGACCAGTTCGTTTCTTTAAACGCGTTTAAGCACAAACTAAGTTTAAGGTTCTGGTAAAATCCGTTTCGCGCGTCAAACTGAGTTTAAGACGTCAAACTCGTTTAAGATCGCTTGATGAAAATGGGCCTAATCCTATTGCGAAACTAGCGGCCGTTGTCCGATTGCAAAACCGAAGGTGCTCCAAAAATGGTAAAAATATCCACAAGGTGGACAGCGACTTCTTCGGCACGTTTAGATTCGAGTGGGCGCAAAATAACAAATTTTGCAAAATAATCCTGGGATACAAGGACAAATCTATATTTTCCATCGGCATGAGATTTATAATCTATCAAATCTACTGGACAACGAGAATTCAAGTCTTTAAAAATCATGGGCTTTGACACAATTCCCTTCTTTTCCTTTTTCTGTTTCTTTTGAAATGGGGCACACAGGTTAATAAACAATAAAATGTCGGTACGTACGATATTCTTATATTTTCCTTGGTTCTTTTCATCATGCGATCTCTCCCTCCATGACCTACAAGCAAAAAGGAAACGAATTTTATAATTTTCCAGGCTTTAAGGACAAAAGGGAGAATATTCCATGAATGAATTCTGCTAGAAAGCCCTTCCAAATTCAAACGAATATTGCCATATTTTGGCTCTACATGCGCCAAATATTTGATGCGAATGGAAAGTTTACTTTCATGTAGGTGCTGTGAAAGTGATTTCCTAAAGATCATCATCCTTCAATGGGGCCTCAATTTTAGCATATTAGCGAACCTATTGAGCATACCTGTAGTTATGTGTATTTCTTGAAGAGTGTTAAACAATTCATTCAACATAATATGTTACGTCAACTGAATCATTTTTAAGAAGCACTATCAATTTTTCCAGTCCCTGAACAGACCATAGATACATCATATTGTTTCAAGGGCCAATACATTCTTGGATATTTTCTTCCAGCAATCTCAACACTTTTTACTTCTTCAATAAGAGCATAGTATTTTTCCCTAGTTAAGCCCCGGCTATTGTAGGCAACCTCTTTCCTCCGCTCAAACAATTGTTCGTGAAACCTAGATTTTTAAATTTGAGGTTACCTTAGGTTAGTTATGACTACATTTTATTTACTTTTGTCTGTAATTTCATATTTGAAATATATCGTCTTTAACAAAGGAAACACTTCAATTTAAGCAGATGTAACTGCGCTTATTTGCTTATTTTATTTAAAAATGTAAACGTCTCATAAATCTCTGCTCTTGAACAAACGGTCTGGATCGCAATCGTTCGTATACAAACGGTCTAGTCTGTATGGTTTCAGGCCTGCTGGGTTTAGGCCGTATATATATGGTTTACCCGGTATATATGGTCTGATTTTATATGCGGTCTGTAACATATACAGACTTCAATAATATGAAGGCTTTCACGGCCGGTCAAACCACATATAGAAATGTTTTCCGGGCTTCCCTTGGCTTGGTCCATGGGAATTTCTTCCTGACGTTTCGTCCACAACTGCGGTGGACATTATCAAAGGCGACGAGGCAGTGGGCGAAGTGATCTCCCGTGCTTTCCGTTTAAGACTKGT